CTGCTGTAGTTTCTATGGAAATACATAAGAGCATTGTTTTCGGAGCAAGAATATATGTCCAATCTTGGCGACTGTGGGGTGGAAATAATAGTATTTTGTAGATGAAAACATGCTCTTCTCCCTGTACCTGTTGTAATTTCTGTGGGAATGTATAGGAGGCATTACTTTTGGAGCACCACTGCATGTTCATACCTGCGCGTGTATGTCTGTATATATAATATATATATATATATATATATATGAATGTGTTTGGTCTAAGGTAGGGACAGGCATTGGTAGATCCCTTAAGAGTGAGGGCATCATAGTAATCATTAAGGGCACTGCAATAATTGTTTTTTTTTTGTTTTTTTTTTTTTTTTTTTTTTTTTTTTTTTTTTTTTTTTTTTTTTTTTTTTTTTTTTTTTTTTTTTTGTTTTTCAGAATTTGCAAAATTTATGCTCTTTATTTGTAAGAAGTAATATTAATGTAAAATCTTTAAAAACTAATGAAAATAAACAAAAAAAATTTTAAAATCAAATATTTTTATTGATAAATAATATAGATTATGATGACTAGAATTATCAGCCATGATACACTGCAGTGGGACATTTTCGAAAAACAAATCAAACATTACAATATTATTAGCTTAGAATATGTTGTAGAAAGAATGAGATTGTTTTATTACTGCATAAAAATATAGCTTTTTCAGCATAAAATCAAAATAACTATTAAAACAAATAAAATAGCACTTTTTAGAAAAAGGCAGTGTCATTGAAGGTCCACATTGAAATAATGTAAAAAAAAAAAAAAATATGAAGACAAGACATATTCCATGACTTCAGCATAGAAATCTTTATTTTGAATTTTGTAAGGGTGTTGATTTTCTGAAGGCCGATGGGAAGAACTTGAAGGCTCAGATTGAACCTCAGAGGACTTTGACCACTCTGTTTTAGCAGAAATGCTTTAAGTTGATCTGTGGAGAAAATATAATAAAATTAAATTAAAAATTTGATGTATTGGCAGAATATTTTGAAAATAATAATGACTTTTTTCTTCATTTGAACCTCTGAATAAAGGAACCATACTCTTTTAGGATCAACTCAATCTTTATCACAGTAAAACATTATATTAATAGAAATACTAAAAAGAATAGAATAACAAAATATTTTTTCTGTGAGTTTAGAGTTGTCAAAATGATCCTTTATTTTCTAACATGAATATTAATTAGTAATTTCTCTTAGATAAAAATATATACATGATTAATTTTTGTTGGCCAGCTTTCAGAAGAACTTCCTCTACTCAGGAAATTTATCAGAATAGAACAATGTTTTGATTATTTTAGATGGCAATCCTGTTTACAATACATCAAAACGATCCCTGACTTTTTGACATACATGTAGTTTTCTTTCCTTTTTGAGGGGACCAGTCTATTTAAGTATTGCTGTTTATTATTGCCAAAATATATTCTTCCCAATTTAATTTTTTTTTTAAAATAGTGCTTATTGCTCTTACTTTCAAACTTTTTATTCTGTTTATACGTTCTTTTTATAGATAAACATAAAAAAATGTCTTAAAATAATTGTTGGACTTTGTCCATTTCATAATGTGTGATGTCATTTGTTTACATTTGGATACACATTGAAATGATATGAATGTATGAGAGAAAATCCTGGAGCATTGTGATTTAAAAACAGTAAAATCGACCTTGCTAACCAAAACGCTCCTCTGTGGCTCAATTGGTAAAAGCACGTCAAGCTATATGATGGTTCCATATAGGATACAGGTTCAATTCCTGTCGGAGGATGCATATTTTCTATGAAAATTTCTTGGACATTCAGGCCGGTAAATGTTGTTAATACTGTTTATTATAAATAGTGCATTTACTTAAATATGTGTATCTATAAAAAGAACGTATAAACATAAAAAATGTCTTAAAATAATTGTCGAACTTTGTCCATTTCATAATGGATGATGTCATAGATATATATCTATTCAGATGTAGCTCCAAAAACTTTTGCAGTCTGCAATTATTTCCTTCTGTCTTAACCTTTATCACTCTGTAGGTGACTATTTTCACCAAGCAAAATGTTAGTCCTGCCAATGCAAGCTGAATTTGAATTTCTTGGTTGTGTCGTCATATCCTTCTATGGCAACACCTAAAACAATCTTGACAGAAATTAAGAGCTAGGCTACTACAATGTCAAATATATAGAACTAATATATAAAACACTATATTTTGAGGGGATTCCATATACAGTAAAAGGGGGAAGTAGTATTTATAAATGATGCAGAGTGCTAAATGTTAATATAAGCTTATGATCTTCTATATACCATGTCTCTTCAGAATATGGGTGTTAATGGCTCTCCACAATTTCCTATCCTTTGTAGTGCTTAGTAAGTAGTGTCTTTTCACAATCTCTCTCTCTCATTGTTCTGCCATCCATTTACACAAGCTCGCTAGGTTGAGTGTCAAATTTTCCAAGCCTTCTTTCTTCAATTATGTGCCTTACAGCTGCATCACATTGAAACACTGGTTCCTGTACAATCACAGAAGTTAAGCAACATCAAGCCTGGTCAGTATTTAGATGGCTGACCACTCGGGATTACCAGGTGCTGTAAGCTTGGATGTGCAGGTGGTGTAATGGATAATAGCTTGGAATTGTTAATCGGGGAACAGAGTTCCAGTTGGTCTCGTTATATTCATTTAAGTACAAATACCTTTGGGGAAAAGGTATAAATCTACTTCTTCCTCCTCCATCTATGGATTAATTAGTAGGACTTGCATCACTTAAATCATTATTATCTCAAAATGGAAAAAAAAGGCATACAAAATGTTTAGATTTCAGCATTAAATAACCTATAGCAGAGTTGATATACAGCTAAACAAATGCAACCAACTTGTTATGTCCCCCAGGAATTTGATTCTAAGTATAAGTGTCCTTTTTGTTTCCATTTTATTAATATTATTAGTTAGACTTTTATAAGTTGTTGAAAGTTCACTGGGTACTATTCTATTGATTTATTATGTTGTTGAAAAGTATTTTCAAATAATATATCTCTGTCTTTTATTTCCATAAAAGATGACAAACCATTTTTATGCAGCACATTAAACAAAAAAAAAGAACTTAAATTTAACCATATTTGAGCTAGAAATGCACTTCTCAATTTAGTGTTATGAAACTAATGTTTAAATTTCTAACATATCAAATAAAAATAGGTACTTCACTGTATTAAAAAGCAACTATTCAAATGGTAATAATCAAGGATATATTTTAACATTTTTGTATGCTCACCTTTGGGGGAAAAATGAAACTGTCTATAAAACTTGTCTATTAGATATACTTGACAGTTGGCACTTTAAACAATAGATTATTTGTAGACCCCTACAAAATGGTTTTGCTTAATACGGAGTGGCCACTGAAAGATTGAATGATATAAAACAAAAATAAACACATTTTTTAAATTTTTGGACCATTTGAATCTTGTATGGAAACATTTTTAAGTCCAGTTTCAGGATCTTCTGAAGTGATGTTCTAATGATACCTAGTTGAGCAGAGCGACAACAGGTAGAAGCCAATGGATTCCTCAAGAACACTCTGCCATACAGCTTCCACCACTGCGCCAGTGTGCACAGTGTGCTTAGGACCTCTTCCTGGAAGATCACCAACTTATCCAGTTCTTTCAGAGTGGGTGATTAGATTCTGAATCATGTTATCGCTAGGAGATACTCTGACATTAAAATGTTGCTGGTATTTTCTCTGAGTTTGAATAATTAATCTTTCATTGGAATAGAAAAACTTAGTGAGTTGTACTCAGTACTGGATATCATACATAACCATTTTAAATCTCCAAGGGATGTTCTATAACCTGCAACAAAAAAAGAAAATAAAAAAAGATTGAAAATTAACAAGTTATGACTTTTTCAAATCTTCAGTTTTTCAATGACTGTCCTGTATTTAACAAATGGTATGTCAAATGTTCATGATTAATCAAGTTGCTTTCTGAATGACTCTGTCAACTCGTTATAAAGTGTTGCTATTTTTAGTCATAATAGTTCTGTGAATTACAAGCAGTTTTATTTGTTTATTGAAAATGAAATGAAACCAATTTTAGTAGATTTGAACTTTTGAAACTTGTAAATTATTTTTTTTTAAATATTAACCCTGCTATTATTTTAACTACCTTCACTCCTTGGCAATGTTTTAAAACATGATGATTAGAAATGTAATAAAACCCAAACATATGAAAGTGAATTTGTACATTTTTTTGTTCTTGAGATTTGACAACAAAAATAAGAAACATTATTTATCATATTTTTTAGTGGAATGGTTGGCAAAACATCAGCTAATTGCCAATTGATTTGAACTTTATAAAATGGCAAATAATAAGGACTTCAGTATAGTTGGTTTATATATATATATTAATAATTTAGTAAATGTTTATAAATTTATGAATAAAAAATTGTTTTCATATTTAATATTTTATGATAAATATTGTATTAGTTTTTAGAATATTGTAAATATAAAATTATTCTTGTAATTAAACAATCTAATAAATAAATAGTGTTTAACCTTTTTGCTGTCAATTCTCAAGAACAAAAAAATGTGTAAATTCACTTTCATCATGTGTTTAGGTTTTATTAAAGTTTTAATCATCACTTTTTAAAACAAATATTGATGAAGAATAAAGGTCGTTAAGATAATAGTGGTGTCAAGGGAAAAACCATAATTTTAACACTCCATTTTTTTGCTGGCTTTAAGGTCCATGATGACCAAAATTTCTGTGTAAAATTATTCAAGTTAACCAAATTATTTCAATAATAATAAATATGTGATTTTCTTTTTTCTTTTAATAAAAATTACAGTAAAATTTAAGTAATTTGGTTTTTGTTGTTAACTTTTAAACTTTAATTCATTTTTAAAACTTGAATATTTTAGCATTTTTCATTTTTGCTACAACTTTTATTAAAAACAAATAGAAGATTAAAGATTGAATGAACCAAAATGAATATTGATTTACTAAACATTTTAATGGTATTTTTTTATGCTATTAATAATAAATGATAACAAAATAATAAAAAGAAAACAAAAAAAAAATTAGCTCTTTTAATTTTTCAGATGGTTTAAAAAAATTTTCAGAATGTTTTGGTTTTTTTCTTTTTATGGTTCCAGGATGATAAAAAATTTAGTCAGTAGACCTGCTTAAATGTATTCAGAAACTATTTCTTTCTTATGTCAGAGCTTTCTCTCAGACAAAAAAAAAAAAATATGGCTTTCGCTTCTCTAGGTAGGAGAAGTAATAAACATTGTTTATTGGAATGGTAACATTTATTACTGAAAGTCTGTTAAATTTTAGATAAGAATGGTGAAGCTCATACTGTAATTTTTGATGTTTCTAAAGCATTGGCATGCTAGCCTTATCTACAAACTGAATACTAAAGTGACACAGGACAAATTTTTGATTTGATCCAATCTTTCTTAAATCATGTAATGAAAGTTATGCTGAACAGCCATATTTCTTGATCCTTCCATAATAATGTGGGTGACTTCAATGATGACGTTCCAAATGTCATCAATGCCCAACTCAGTATTTATGCTGAAGAAAAAACTATTTACACTTGTCTTAATAATAATAATATAGCTCTCAGCATCCAAGTGTAAGTTCCATTAAGTTTAGACTCAAGGGTTTTATTTAACGTCCAAGCAGAGTGGCACAATACATTAAAACCAATTCTACAGTGGTGTGAAAGAATCTCTGCTTGAGTTTGCCTGGGGGATCAGATTTCCAGATTGTGTCCATTTTATTCACAGTGGCCCAGGCTTTAGCTATACAAATTTTCACATCCTTTTCAGTAGAATTTATTTCACTCACTGAAAAGGATGTGAAAATTCGCATAGCTAAAACCTGATCCTGACTGAATAAAATGGATCTAATCTGGAAATCCAAGCTGAGATTCTAATGGTGGTGTTAATGTATGGTGGCACTGCTTAGACATTAACTAAAACCCTACAGTCTAAGCTTGATGGAACTTACACCTGGATGCTGAGAGCTATACTTAACATCTCTTGGAGAAAACATCCAACTAAATCACATCTCTATGGACCCATCTCTGATATTTCTACAATCTTATGTGAACACAGAATGCACTTCACAAGACATTGCTGGCAAGCAAAACAAGAACTTGTGAGTGATCTACTGCTCTCAAGACCTGGCCATGGTTCAAGGGGGTTTGCAGAACCACCTACATTGACCAACATTTTAATGATACAATATGCCATCCTAATGACCTTCTTGGTGCAAGATTGTGATGGTTAGTGTGATAGGCTCATGAATGTTCAATCTAGTTTGACTGAATAAATAAAAATATTAAGTTCGATAGGTCTAATAAAATAAAACTGGCCGCTGATCTTGAAAATGACCTTCAGTCAGTTGTTAACTGGAGCAAGAAATAGCTCAAATTTTAACACCTACAAAATAAAACTGTTGTCTTTTAGTCATCTTAGGGAACAATTTTTACCTTCTATCAGCATGGCTGATGCTAACCTTCATGATAGCCTCTCATTGCACTTTCTCGGTCTTGTGTTTTCCACTAACATGAAGTGGAATGATTATATTGAATCAATTGCTTGGTCTGCTGTTAGGAAATTTGGTTCACTATATCATGTGAGACAATTTTGTCCTGCCAGAATCCATCTTGCACGTTTATAAATCTACCATTCATCCATACATTGAATATTGCTGTCACATCTGGTCTGGGGCTTCTGCTATATTTTTTTAGATTCTTAACAAAATCTAACTAAGAATCTGCAATATTATTTTCCTGACCTGGCATATTGACTTCTTTCACTTTCCCAACACTTCCCTATATATTTCTATAAATATTTTCATGGTAATTGTTCTTTCTCCTCATGGACGTTTTTTTCATTTTGTTTCACTCACAGTAACTTTGTTGTGTTATCACCTTACTTTCAAAGTGAAAGGATTAAAAAAAAAAAAAAAAAGTTTGTAAAATTTTAAAACTTAATCTACATGCTTTTCAATTATGACCCATGACAAACTCTGTATTCCTTATGATTTGTAAAAAAATATATTTTACTATACATGGACATAAAAGTATGATATTTGGGAAGTAACTCAATTTTGGAAGCAGTATAAATCCAAATTTGTCCTATTTCTGTCATTGTCATTTGATTTCCTGTCTCTTGTTGAATTTAATGTTTTGTTACCCTTACTGTGACTTTATATAATTACACTTGTTAACCCCTTTTTAAAGGGGGAGATCTTAAACATTGATGCAAAAATCTCGGCTCCAGTCCTCTTATTTGACATAACTATCAAATTATTGGATATTTGTTTTCAACAGCAAAAAGCTTTAAAATATTACAAATAACAAGAAAAGACTTTTGTTAGAAAGTTGTTTATATAACTAGTTTTATTCTCATGTAAGTTGATATTTAAACACATTTGAAAGCTTTTTTTTTTTTTTTTATCTTTTATGGAAACATTGTACAAAATTTTTTTTTTTTTTAATTGTTTGGGTATTTTTTGTTTCCATTGATAGTTCTCCACTGAGCATCACATGATCTTGCATAAAAAAAACAAAAACTAAAAAAAACATCT